ACCAGCTTGCACCCATTGCTTCTTGTCCTGCCCCCAGGTGCTAGGGACAATAAATTGATGCCCTCTTCTCTGGGACAACCCTTCAAGAATTGGAAGACGGCTATCATGTCTCCCTAAGCTTTCTCTTTGTTAGGCTAAACGTACCTAATTCCATTAGCGGTTCATCACATGAACAGCTAAGGTAGCAAAGCCCATGTAGGCAGGACAAGAAGCAATGGATGGAAATTAATCAAGAAGAGAACCAACCTAGAATTAAGGAGAAATTTCCTGACCCTTAGAACAATTAATAAGTGGAACTGCTTCTCTCCAGAAGTTGTGGGTGCTCCATCACTGGAGGTTTTTCAGAAGAGATTGGCCCCCCATTTCTCTGAAACAACATAGGGTCTCCTGCTTGAGTAGGAGGTTAGAAGACCTCCAAGGTCTATTCCAACTCTGTTATTCTGTTATGATTGAGTCCCCAGAACCCTTCTAATCTTGGTTGCTCTTCTCTGCACTCTACATGCCTCTATTAGCAACTAGAAAATATCTAGACCAAGCTAGGAACACCATTAACTGGCCAACGTCTAGCCAAGGTATAAATTTGAACTGGAAGAATGTGTCATTAAAGGTAAAGGTTACCCTCGCACATATGTGCTAGTTGGTTCTGGCTCTAGGGGATGGTGCTCATCTCTGTTACAAAGCCAAATAAGAGTCGGCGCTGTCCGAGGACATCTCCATGGTCATGTGGCTGGCATGACTAAACGTTGAAGGCACACGGAACACTGTTACCTTCCCACCAAAGGGGTCCCTATTTTCTTACTTGCATTTTTTACGTGCTTTCGAACTGCTAGGTTGGCAGAAGCTGGGACAAGGAATGGGAGCTCACTCTGTTCCACGGCGCTAGGGATTCGAACTGCCGAACTGCTGACCTTTCTGATCGACAAGCTCAGTGTCTCAGCCACTGAGCCATAGATCAAGACAAATGATGGTCACCAGAAGCAGAACCATTGAGATCAACTCTGGCTTCCCACTCCTTCCCTGCTCATAGGCTTGAGTCTTTCCATGACTCTCTCACCAAGTCATGCTGTGATCAGGAGGTTTCATCACAAGAAGCTATTGGTACTGTGGTGGCGATAAGTCTATTGAGGTGCTGTTTGGCTGGCTCACAGTGTGGGGTTGGGCCCATGCTTCCCAGTGATGACAAGAGAGGCGCAGCCTGTGATTAACGTGGCCTTACATATTCTTTTTTGAAGTCCCCGGAGCCTCTTCTGAACAATTTGCCAGATTTCAACAGCCTAGCTGCCAAAAGTCAGCGGTAGAGTTGCCAAAAAATTGCTATTGTGGTCTGCCACTGTTCTGTGGTAGGAAACAGAAAATCAACTGCAATGTAAGCCTTAGAACAGCTTAATACAGTTAAGAAAAAGAAAAGGCAAAAAGAGAAATGTTTACTGTCACCCGCTTAAAATCCTGAAAAAAATAGATTATCTATAATTGTCTAAAACACATTTTTTTTTAATCTTACCAAGAAATAGGTTGTGGTCTGCTTTGTCAAATGTCTTACCGAAGTCTACATTTACAAGGTCCATAGCATTTCAGTGGCCCGCTAATTTAGTCACTTTGTCAAAGAATGCAATGAAGTTTGAGGAGTCCTTGGCGATCTCCAAGCTTGGCTATGTTCTTGCAGATGTTTCATTACCAAAACTAGGTAACATCAACCAATACAGGCTGGTTGCCAAACTCCTGATGATACTACCCAGTTTTGGTAAGGAAACATCTACAAGAAAACAAGCAAATTCGCAGAACACCAAGAACCCTTCCTTTCAACTCTGAGCTACAAATATTTTCCTTTATTGGCACAATAAAGTTTTTGTGGCATGATCTGTCTTTGATAAATCCTTGTGGCTTCTAGTAATCCAATTTTGTCTCCTTTCTCACAATTTTGTCTCCTTTCTCACACAGTTCTTACGATTGTCTCCTCGATGACCCTTTTGAACATAATTGGCCGAAACTTCCTGAGTTGCCAGGGGTAAATTATTCTATGGACGAGCAATGCCGCTTTGATTTTGGAGTGGGTTACAAAATGTGCACAGCGGTAGGTCTTTCTCGGTTTCTATAATGTAAAGCTGAATTATAGTTTTAATATCAAGATACATCAGCCCAAATCTGAGTTGGTTGTGACATGTATCTCCCTTCCTTTGTTCATATTTTCAGTGTGGGAACTGCAATTTTGGGAGAAAAGAGGAGAAGGGACTGAAATTTATGAGGACTTTCAGTTTGACCATATCCAGATAGTTGACAATGGCCAACTTCTACCCACAAACCCTGAATCTCAGTTGAGGGATAATTTCCTATTGTTTGCTTTCTTAGGTTTGTTGTATAGATAGTCCTCACAGCTATAATGGTGCCTGGCCATTAGGGTCAATAAGTGAATCATCACATGACTGACCTTTTTACAACCTGTCAGGTGTAGCCCCCATTCAAAATCCAAGAAAGAAAACCTTAGACTTCATTGTTATAGAGAAAAGGACTTTTAATGAATACGAAGTGATAGCAACAGAAGAAATACAAGATCTGTAGCAAAAGGTGTGGAAATTACATATAGAAAGTTATCCCATGTTCCCGCCCCCAACAATTCAAACTGGACATCCAATCTGAGGTGTGTATAATGTCATGTGGGGACATCTTCAGGTGGCGTCTCACACATCTGGTATGACAAGACGGTTGACCTTGGCCTAGAAAAGATAAGTGGCTGTATTTGCGCAGTAAGCAAGTAAGCATCCCAACTTTTACAATTCACACAACTTCAACCTCCAGCACCCTACCCCCCAATGAGGCCCAATTATTCCTCCCCCCCATTTCTATGGCAGCCAGAAAGAGTCAAGCAAAAGAAGGAATCTTGGAGGCTGACACAACCTTTTTGCAGTGGTCATTAAGTGAACAAAGCAATAGTTAAGCAAATTCACTGTTCATTATGGAGCGTTTTGGCCAAAAAAACAGAAATGGAATCTGGTTTTCAGGGGAAGTGTTGTAAATCATGGTCAGGTGACTGCGGGATATTGCAAATGGCCATAAAAGCAGACTGATTGCTGAGCACCCAAAATTGGTCGCGTGATCACAGAGGGCGGTGGCTATCAGAGCTCTGGAACTAGATCATCAGTAGCTTTTGGGAGGGGGAGGGGTCTGTCATAACTTTGAACAATCGATAAGCGACCTGTCATAAGTCAAGGACTAGCTGTATCCAAATATTTAAAGATATCTATGGTATTTCTCTTGTTTCAGTTTCGAACATTTGATCCATGTAAACAGTTGTGGTGCAGTCATCCGGACAATCCTTATTTCTGCAAGACTAAGAAAGGCCCTCCCCTTGATGGGACAGAATGTGCCCCTAGTAAAGTAAGTGGGAATGCATTTTCAGGTTGAAACGATGCAAGTATTTCAAGGGGAACTGGGAGATGGTGAGTTCTAGTCCTGCATGAAAGGCATGAAAGCCAGCTGGGTGACTCTGAGCCAATCACCAGGGGACAATGAGTTCTAGTCCTGCCTTAAGCATGAAAGGTGATTGAGTGACTTTGGGCCAATCACCAGGGGACAGTGAGTTCTAGTCCTGCCTTAGGCATGAAAGCCAGCTGGGTGACTCTGGGCCAATCACCAGGGGACAATGAGTTCTAGTCCCACCTTAAGCATGAAAGCTGACTGTGGGCCAATCACCAGGGGACGGTGAGTTCTAGTCCTGCCTTAGGCATGAAAGCCAGCTGGGTGACTCTGGGCCAATCCCTCTCTCTCAGCCTAACTTGTCTCACAGGGTTGTTGTTGTGGAGAAGTAGGAGGACATGTTTTGAGTTGTTTATAAAAAAAATAATAAAGGCAGGATATAAGATAAGTAAATAATGACTTGTGGGCTTCAATTATAATGATAGATAAGAGCGAAGCAATGTAGATTGTTGCTCTTTTAACAATGAATGTCCCGTTTCAAGTTCTCCCCTTTTCCAGTCTTCTGTCTCTCTTTTGCAACAATAGGACAATATTTTACCACCAAGCACAAGTGGTCCTCAGTGGGTTTGGTTAAAGTCCCTTGAAAGCTTCCTCCTTGCCCAATATTTTGACAGCGTTAAGTAATGAAACTTTACAAACCATTTATATGAAGAGAGACAATTGCCCATCTTCTCCCTCTCACTTAAAATTCCATCCAGTTGTTGGATTGCTTTTCCATAGGTCTCCTCTTACGGAAGATGGTTCTGCCATTGGAACTTTGAATCTGCCTCATAATTACCCACTGTGACTTCAAATGGTCATTAAGTGAGCAGTTCTAACTCCAGGACTAAGCTCAACTAAATTTCCCACGGAACTCGCTTGCCATATGTTCTGGGAGCAGGAAAAAAACAACAACCCAAATCTCAATTTTTCCAAGGTGAAATCAAAGAGAATTTTTTTCCCCCCTGAAGTTCGCCTCCCAGGGAAGGTACCATTAGGAAGCAAGACCTCCTTAAAAGTTTCGTTTCTCTTTCGAATGGAGTGTCTGTTCTTCTTTCCTCTCTCAGTGGTGCTATAAAGGTCACTGCATGTGGAAGAACACGAACGAGTTGAAACAAGATGGCGGCTGGGGAACTTGGACAAAATTTGGGTCCTGCTCCAGGTCCTGTGGAACGGGCGTTCGCTTCAGAACACGACAATGCAACAATCCCATGTAAATCGGTGCAGCGTTTTCTGTCATTTTTTGCCGTTACAGATTTTTTTTTTAAAAAAAATTGCATATAGACTGCCATTGGATTCATATATATGTATATCTATAAAGGTAAAGATTCCCCACGTCTCGTTGTATCTGATACTACGGGGTGGTGCCCATCTCCATTTCTTAGCTGAGCGAGTCAGCGGTCTCTGAAGATGGGATATCAACCGATAGATATAAATAACTAAATTGAAAGACATTGGTGTTGAAATACCCATGTTTTCCCAAAAATAAGACCCTGTCCTATATATTTTGTTTTTGGCACCAAAAAAGGCACCAGGTCTTATTTTTGGGTGGGATGACATCCACTGACTCACCTCACTTGTGCGTGTCACTTCCGGCCTCCATTTTGCTGCCAGAGGCCTTCAGGAATTTCTTCCTGAGGCTGGCAAGGCTTTCCTGAAGGCTTGTGCAGCTGATAACAGAGCTCCGGATTGATCGGGCCAGCAAGGAAGGTGTCGGGATGTGTGAGGTCTGGTTGCAACTGTCCAAAGGTAAATAGTAGGGCAGCTCCACCTCCTCCCATCCCCACCCTTGCTAAATTTTTACTTAATTGAGGCTTATTTTGGGGGGTAGGGCTTATATTGGGCTCACATGTAAAAATCAAGCTAGGACTTACTTTCGGGGTAGGTCGTAGTTTCGGGGAAACACAGTATTATATTATTAAATTCTGAACTAATACCATTGAAATGTTGAGCTCCGTTTGATCTCGCCTGCTCAGATTGAAAGGAATCGCATTTGCCAGAAAAATAGCATTGGTGTTTTGGTATGGAAGAGTGAGGAATCACAGTTAAATCTCAATTAATCTGATTTTGTTCCTATTTTTTTTTTGCCTTCCAGGCCAATTAATGGGGGTCAAGACTGTGCCGGTATCAACTTTGAGTATCAATTGTGCAACCTGGATGAATGCCCAAAGCTTTACGAAGATTTCCGAGCCCAGCAGTGTCAGCAACGCAACTCCCATTTCGAATATCAAAACAGCAAACACCACTGGCTTCCATATGAGCACCCAGATGGTAACCAGCGATCTCTCTCTGTTTCTGTTCTTCTGTGGAAAAATGGTTTAAATGTCACAAAGAAGGCAGGGAATGTGGTACACTTACTGACATATTATTGACTTCTTCCCAATAACTTGTCCTTTTCAAAATATCAGAAAACTGATTTTAAAGTGAATTATTTCATGAATGGTAACCATAACCAGGTTTTGTACACTAGCCAACAACCAGGTAAATATGATTGCAAAACATCCCTTAATATTTGTAATAAAGATTAACTCAGCTGAGTTCAATATGTCTTTTATTCAACAACATGTCGCTTTAGCAATTAAATTTGGGTGTTCAATGAAAACTGGTCTTATTTAGTCAAGAGAGAGAATAGAAAAAGAGTCAGAACATAAAGAGAAAGAAAACGTAGAGGTGCAGTAAAATTAAGTATAGAAAGAAACAAAAATGTGCAGAAAATGATTGAATGAATTTCTAACTTTTTTTAGTGCAGCTGTCAATAAAACATGAGTTCAACTCTTGGTCTACAGGTACAATGTAGCCTCCATTTTCAAAATAATCTATATATATACTACTAATATTCAAATCCATATGATTTCTATTATTTTTCTGTTTTGTGCCAAAAGTTCAAAATTGCTACCGGTATTAAATTTAGTCAATTTCCTCTAATCAGAGCTTCACCATCCCAGCTGTCTCCATCAGCCTTACTAAGTATTTTTTTTAGTAACTTTATGGGAGGGAGGGAGGGAAAGAAGGAAGGAAGAAATAAGAGAAGGAGGAAGGGAAAGGGAAGGGAAGGAAGGAAGAAAGGAAGAAAGATGAGAGGGAGGAAGGGAAAGGGAAGGAAGGAAAGGAAGGAATAAGAGAGGGGGGAAGGGAAGGGAAAGAGGGAGGGAGGGAGGAGGGGGAAGGGAGGAAGGGAGAGGGACGAAGGGAAAATTCTGGTATTATTTCAAGGGAACCACATTTCACACAAACAAGAGCAACCTTTTTCTCACAATGAAATGTTCAATTTCAAAATTTCTTCCCATGAAGGTTAGGAATATTCTAAAAATGGAGAAGTAGGGAATAGATAGCCAGATATGTGCTCAGTGCATTCATTCAGTGTCCATTCCAAACTTATAGCCAATGCCACATCTCATAGCAAAAGTGTAAATTGTTCCCAGCCTAAAAGTCACCAAAGCCTTGCTATTTTTTCCCTCTGCTCTCTGTAGCCACCAAGAGATGCCAACTTTACTGCCAGTCCAAAGAGACGGGTGACATTGCTTACATGAAACAACTGACCCACGATGGCACTCGCTGTTCATACAAAGACCCCTTCAGTATATGCGTCCGTGGAGAATGTGTGGTAAGTGATCGTCATTCTATAAACTTTTGGTTGTTCCAACTTGATCCAGGAAACCTCACAAAAACTCTTTAAGATGTGTGTAGAAGATATTAGCTTAACATGGACATTTTAGAAAAATAAGGGCAAAATGTTTCTTTACCAAAAGCTAAAATGGCCATGACAAAAAATAGAAACGAGATACAGGGAATCCTTGACTTACACCATTCATTTAGTGACCATTTGAAAAACCTACAGTATTGGAGCACCCACAATTTCTAAAGGCCAACAGTAGTAAGGTGAATCCAATGAATCCTTCTTGACCCAGAGTTTAGGCTAAGATAATGAATAGCATCAAGAACTACATATTTCCGTGTGGTGATGCAGTGGTTAGAATGTAGTATTGTAGGCTAACTCTGACCTTTGATCCTGGCCTAGGTTGACTCGGCCTTCCATCCTTCCAAGGTCAGTTGGGATGACCCGGGGCACAGCACAGAGTTAACACAAACAGCTGGCAGTTCAAACCGCTCCTCTATTGCTCCAAATTTCTCCAAACACTTCCACGTTTCTGGCAAGTCCCAGATCAGAGTGATTACAAACCCCCCACGCAAACCTCAAGCAGCCTCTGGCTGCAATTAGTCCAGCCCAGCGCTGTCTGTACAGCAATAAGTCCAGCAGGGCAAATCAAGGAGTTCAGGAAGCAAAAGATCCAGGTAATTAGTCCAGAATGCCAGAAAGAATGCAAGGACTCTTGAAAAGTTCAAACGTGGGCATTCAACATTTCAGGAACTCAGCATTTAGTTCCCAGCAAATGACCCTCCCCACAGCATCTCCTTAAGTCTCATTCCCCAGGTGTGCCTTGTGAAGAGGGGCAGGGCACTCTCCTCCCAAGTAACCTGCTAAGTCTGCGCTGTTCATGCCTTTTCTCCACTCTCCATGCTCTCGGATCAGGAGGGGGTGGTCATGGCTCCTCACCTGAGCTCCGTCTCTCATGTTCATCCTGCCCCTGTTCCTCCCTGTCTACAAGCTGTCCTAATCCTGAAAGGCCCTGGCCTCCCCCATTTTCTTCCAAAGACAATGAAGCTGACCCCTCAATCTTCGTTGGCTCAGATTTCAGCTTGTCTTCTCCCACAGATTCAGGCTCCGACAGGGGCAGTAAAATGAGGACCCAGATTGTTGGGGGCAATATGTGAAGCAGTATGCAAGTCTAAAGGCTATTGATATTGCTAAATTTTCAACCACCTCTTCCTGCTTCTCTCAGTTCTGCTGATCTGCTTCTCTCGGCAGAAAGTTGGTTGCAACAAAGAGATTGGATCCAACAAAGCTGAAGACAAGTGTGGAGTATGTGGAGGAGATAACTCACATTGCCGGACAGTGAAAGGGATCTTTACTAAAACCCCCAAGAAATCTGGTAAGGATTAACTTATCTTCCTAACTTGGTGTTTATTATTAGTTTCTAAGTTGCATTTTAATTATTCAAAATGGCAAAAACAAAAATTAAGTTTGATCTAGGATACTGTAGGAGAAGGAGTAGAACACGGGTGTCAAACTCATGATGTCACATTGCTGTCACGTGATGTACGTATTGTGACATTTTTTTTCCTTCGTGGAGCTGGGGTGGGTGTGGCCTGCACATCCGGCCTGTGGGACACCAAGTTTGACACCCCTGGAGTAGAAGAAACTGGGGGTGGAGTTAAAAGAGGGATCAGCCTAGAATCTTTATGTAGTCAGAAGCAAACTAAAATCCATCCTCCCTTGAATTCCATTGATCCTTATCTAACACCAAACAGGTGGTCACTGTTAGTTAAAAAGATTCCTCTGTATACATGTTAAGCAATAAATCAGTTTAATTCATTTCATTTGTGGACCTGATCTTCCTTTCACACCTGACAGATACCATAGGAATATTGTCTAGAGTTTATCAATCAATGTTCTTTGCAAGAATAGACTTGCAAGAAGTATAGCTAGTAGACCAATTCCTTGGAATCTGTCTTGATAAGGAGAGGACAGGAGATTGCCCACATATGCTCCGGACAGCTGCTCCCTATAAGGAAACTATAGACAGTGATTTCCATTGTTTTTAAGTGCTAGAAGATTACAGGATTAGCCATTTTTCTTGCAACTACAATGTAGAGTTTTAAATGAGGCAAGAGTTAGAGAGACTGTGAGTCCATATTACAGTTTGGGTAGACAACATGGATCTAATATTCATGTTATGTATTTGTTTTGTAAGTTTCCAACCCACTCAAGATCGTGTACATTAAGATCCCACAAAGTTATCCAATGAGATATGACTAACAAAAGGCTACATCAGTGTTTTTCAAATTTAGCAACATTATGATGCATGGATTTCAACTCTGGCTAGAGCATTCTGGGAATTGAAGTCCACACATTTTAAAGTTGCTAAGTTTGAAAATCACTGATCCAGAACTTAGATCTCCCTAGTGTCAGTCCAGTATCTTAGCCACGAAGCTACAGTGGCAATTGATACTTTTAGCTCATATTATTCTTAAATAACTTCATTTGAGATAGAACAATGGGAAAATCAAAACTGAGATTTCCAATTGGTCATGGAAAGATGTAGAAGCAAATTTTGTGAAGTTTTCATATTTATTTGAATTCATGATAGCTGTACAATTATCCACAGATCAAGCTAAACAGACACAATTTTAATGCAAAACATGTTTTGTTCATACTTGGTGATTGAGGATTATACTTTGGAGATCTGTAACCATTATTTATATATTCCTGATAAACTTTTATCTTAGTCATTAAATTATTTTATTTTATTGTTTTGAAAAGTCCTCAAAAAAAGTCTAACTTCTTCCAACAGGGAAACAATTAAGCAAGAGGTGTCAAAATGATCTCAAGTATCTGGAAAATGAAATCTGCAAATATCCACTTGATTTTTCCATAGTCTCAACTTTCATTGACTGTGTTGTAAAAGAATTGCTGCAACGTGGACAAAAATACTTAAAATAGTGTTGGAGTGCAAATAGTACAGTTGATCACAAAGCTCATAACAAGACGTAGTCAATGAAAACTCAAGACTTTGGTGACCTGATCATTAATAAAAATCATTCTGTTTAAGGGAAGACAAGAGGTGCATTTACTTTGCCTAAAGGAGCACGTGATATTTCTCTTTCTGAAACCAGAGTATCAAAATATATCCTGGGTGAGTTTCGTCCCATTGCAGGATGACAGACATCCATAGCTGCTCTTAATCCCTCCTCATTGCTTCCTTCCTCATTGCTGGCGGACACTTACAAGAATTACAAAAAAGGAGACAAATCCTTTATGCTTTCAATGGCAATTTCTCCCAAGAGAAAGTTCAATAATTAGAATTCTTCATTAGAGTTTCTGTGATTCAAACTGTTGGAAGAAAGTCCTGAGCTTGAATCCAAGTCTGGTCACAAATAACACACTGGCCAGCTGCCTGAAAATATGGTTGTGAAATTAGAATGCTGAAAGTTGTAATGCTTATTACAGCAGAAGAAATGGAAGAACCTGAGGTAGAGTTAAAAGAGGAAAAAGCCTAGAATCTTTACATAGCCACATGCGAATTAAGTCCAACTGTCATGCACCAAGAGAGAAATCAGGAGATCCAGTCAATGTAAATGTATATAAAGATTTATTGTAAGCTTAAGCTCTCTACAAGAATCTGAACTGCTAACATTCAAGGGAAATTAGTGGGAGTTAAGAACAGAAAGAATTCAAGCTGGGCACGAAGGGACTCATAGCTCATGACACGTTTGACCTCTCCCTCATTCTCAGCCAGGTCATCTACACCAACTGTCCTTGAATTTTGTTGACTCTTATCTAACTCCAAGCAGCATCTAAATGTTAGTTGGAGATTTCCCATGGATCAGAGGTGGTTTGATGCATGACCCGGCTAGGATGTGTGTGCATCAGAGAAGCTTTTACCTTCCAACAATACACATGGGTTTTGAAAGAATATCCCCATGGTGAGGTTTTCGTCCATGAAATATAGGAAGCATAAATGCTTTGTCTAAATCAGGAGTCTCCAACCTTGGCAACTTTAAGACTTGTGGACTTTAACTCCCAGAATTCCTCAGCCAGCTTTGAGGAATTCTGGGAGTTGAAGTCCACAAGTCTTAAAGTTGCCAAGGTTGGAGACCCCAGATCTAAACGATCTCAATGTTATGCTCTTCAGAGAGCATAACAAAGTAAGTGTTTTGCAGGAACCTTTGCTTGTCGTTTCCTTCTCCATGTAGAGTTGGGAAAGGTAAGGCAACCTAGGCCTCAAACTGCAGGTCTTTCTATCTTCTCATTTAATGGTCAAAGACCTATGGATGCACCCGTTCTTCAATGGGATTTATCTCCACTTGCAACTAACTAATGTTAGCCAATTTTTTCTCTTTCTCCTTCTTTTCTTCCTCTCCTCCTCCTCCTCCTCCTCCTCCTCTTCCTCCTCCTCCTCTTCCTCCTCCTTTCTTCTTCTCTGTCTCTCAACGTCTCGTTGCACATGCCAAAGGGTACCTTAAGATGTTTGACATCCCAGCGGGTGCTCGACATGTGACTGTCCAAGAAGATGAGGTTTCCCCTCACATTCTTGGTAAGTGCTTCTCTGCATAGCCTTGGCCATCATGCCAACAGGGCTGATGCCAACGTCTTCTCGTTTTAGAAGCTGTGGGCATGGCTGCTTATGGATAGCTGAAGGCATGTCTCCAAAAGTTCTGGTGAATTCAGTGTATATTTCAGTGTTTATGAACTTCACAAGTAAATCTTCCACCAGCACAAGCATTCAGTTTTCAGCTGTAGTGCTTTTGTCTTGTGGTCACAAGAGTTTCTGTCTAAGCTAGTGTCTATGACTCTTCGCTTCCATATTTGATTGGTGGATTCCTTATTCAGCTATTTATTTTGCTAGATTTATAATCTATCCACTAACAGAAGTTTTTGGGGGAAATTGTTTGAAAACCCCTCCTTTTTTAAAAAATGTCACTCAAAGAAAGAGAGAGCCAGTTTGGTCTTGGGCCATTCACCAGGAGACTGTGAATTCTAGTCCCACCTTAGACATTAAAACTGGCTGGGTAACTTTGGGCCAATCACCAGGAGACTGTGAATTCTAGTCCCACCATAGGCATTAAAGCTGACTGGGTAACTTTGGGCCAATCACCAGGAGAC